TGAAATCACCTTCTCTTTCCAGAATTGTGAGAAATCCTCTCTCATGTCTCTTCTACAGAACTTAATCTTATACCTCTCTTGGCTTTCTGTGCAGGTTTGACCATCCTCTAAACTTTTAGAAGTCAGAGGCCATGTTTTAGTCAGTATTGTATTTTATACAAGGCCTCACACAATACAAATGAACATCATTTTTAAATAAGTTAATATGCGAACAAATAATAAACTATGAAAGTTTGTCCTCTTTTTAAAAAAGAAATAGGAAGACATTGAATCATTTAATAAAATTGACATATTAAATTTAAACAACTGAGATATATAGCATTTAAATAGAAGTATAATGATGCATCAACTATTTGGGGCAGAATGGCAGTAGAAATATCACTTATTAAAAAGCAAATTCAAAAAACTATTTCTTTAGATTATTTAGTCAAACAATCATTCAGCAAACAAACAACACAGCCAATCATATCTGAATGTTTTTGTAGGAAAACAATTTAATAAGTAATTTGACATTAGGACTCAGCATTACAACTGGTGAATCTCAGTTAAAGGAGATGGAAAAAGGGGATTATTCATGGGAAGGACCATAGTAATGAAGCACAGGAAGAAATGTGTACACAGGGAAGAAATGAGAGTAGCGGGCAAGTGACTTTGGTTCTCAAAGAGCTATCTAAACCTTAGCATGCACTTCCAGAGGATGTGGCCCACAGAGGAGTAGACCATATTTCATTTAGGAGATAATGAGGGAATCTACCTCAGAGGTCTGTGTGAAGAGTAAATGTGTTAATACAGCAAAGCTCAGTGTCTGGCATATTATAATCAACACGAAGGGATTTGATGCTAGTTATTTTTCTCTTCTGATAGAGTGGCCCTCATCTTCTGGTCCTTTCCTATAGCACACCAAGTGTGATTGATGTTACACACTGTAGCCTGCATGTGGCCCAACTTCATCATCCTCTATCAATTTCTTGCCTTGCACATTAATTTGCTATCTAGAGTTGAAGATGTGATGGGCTCTTGGCTTTAATTAATCTTTCTGGGCTAAGCTACATAATGTTTTTAAACCAGAAACTAATGTTTTCCAACAGTGAATCATAAAACTTTGTATTTAAAATCCAATTTCACTGTCTTAATTTGATTATAACCAATTTTTTAAAAGAAAGAGTAATTACCTTTATTGAGTGCCTGCTCTGTGCCAGATGCTGTGTTCTCTATATATTCTCATTTTGTTCTTCCCCAATCCTTCCAGGTGGGGTTGAATAAACCAAGAAATTAAGTAACTTGTCCAAGATTATACAGCTAATAACTGAGAAAAATAGGATTTGAACCCAGGTGTGTCCATTTCAGCATTCCACTTCTCCCTGCCCTACGCCCTTCCATAATGGAAGGCACAACACACACATAAAAGTTAATATAATAAACGTTTCTCTTCAGTGTCTTATTTACACATAACAATTATACTAACTGACTGGTTTCATAAAACCTCAAGGCAATTAGTCAAGCATTTTTATTACAGAGGACCAATTTAATGAAAACAAATAACTAAAGCTGTCAATGTCTAAAGCATTGTTAGTTGGGAGGAGTGTGGAGGATGAGAAGCTAAGATAAAAATGTAAAGTCAGTTCCCACAATTTTAGAAGCTTGATTCTTGGCTCTTTCTTTTATCTGTAATTATGTAATATAGTGAAGAATAAATGACAAGCCACCCTTTTGCCTCCAAGTGATTCGATTTCTATTTATAAAGTCTGAGTGATAGTTGAAGGGTTTAGAAATGTTTTAAGATTAAGCAAACTCTAAAAGGATAATACACTGGATTTCAAACTTCCAAATGGACGAGGTTCTTGGTATCTCAGCCTACTTCAACCAGAGGAGTCCTCTTTTATCTCACATATTTGGCTTTTATATAACCATCCCTTTGAAAAAGAAGTTTTAAATGATTCAAAGTTGTCTTTTTCCATGTGTTTATAATGAGACAAACAGAATCAAGATCGACTTGGGTTTTAGGTATTCAAGATGCTCTTCAGTGGCTACCACTAGAGCCCTAAGCAAAAATTGCAAACTTGGAAATTTGTGTTTTTATATCCCTGCGTATTCGCCCAGCAAGTGCCCTGGACTGCTACACTCTTAGGACTTCCCATTAACTATACAACTTGGAGGACCCCAGTCTCATCATAGTCTTTATTAAAGTAAAGTTCCTGCTAGAGCAATAAAATGTTTTGAGAAAGAGGTCCTCTTTAAGCTGATACTTTCTACCAGCTGTTCAACACCTCGTCGCCAACAGGCTGTGCCTGCATCTCGTGAAGTGTGTCTTATGAAGTTCTTCCTTCCCAGTTTACTTTCCTGTGCAAAAGAAAATAAATCTATTTAGGTATGAATGACTGCTGGGTATTAAAGCTCCCAATGGCTTTTGTATTTCAAAGGAAGTGGTGGCTAATCCAAATTAAACTAATGCATAGAGTAAATGGAAGAGATGTTTTTAAGCAAAGAAGCATTGCATTCCTTGTGCCCCTTGTCCACCCTGGGCTGTCAGCACCCCAATTGGTAGCCACTTGTAAGGCAAAACACAGGCCATAGATTGGCCCTTTCTTTTTAAGAGACTAGCAAACTCTGGCCTCAGTACAGTTCTAGACTCAGCTAGTTGGGGTTTGTGTCTGCAGCAAACTAAAAACGTAAATGGTTCAGTAGAGTAGACCAGGACCATACAACTTTCTTTTTCCGATTACTAGTTTGTAAGTTCCTTGGAAGCAAAGCCTCTAACTTTTCCATTCACCTGAGAGTACTGAATTTAGGTCCCGAGTGGATAGAGAATTACTTAAGGTCCCATGACTTATTAATGGCAGGACCAGGAATAGAACGTAGGTTTCCCCATGCCATATGCTAAGTTAGTGTTATTTTCATTCTGCCACTATTTCTGTTGTCAATTGCTACACAACAAGCCACTCCAAAATTTAGTACCCCCCTCATAGGTTTGTGGATCAAGAATTTGAGCAGGGCTCAGGCTGTTCTGTCTTCTGCTCCACATAGTGTTGACCGGGACACTTACTGGGCTGGCTTCAGCTGGGTCGAGCCGAAAAGCCCAGAAAAACTTTATTCACATGTCTAGAACCTCTGTGCTTTTCATGTGGCCCCTTTCTCTCCATATTTTCTCTCCTTTCTTTCAGTATTGGAGCCTGAACTTCTTTGTAGCATGGTAGCTATCTTCTAATGAAAGCAGAAGCTGGCAAGCCTCTTAAACTAGCCCAATATTAATATGCGGTTTGACTTCTGCTAGATGCTCTGGATCAATGCGAGTCATAGGCCAGTCCAGATACAAGGACGGGGAATACATACTATCTAGTAATGAATGGAGCAACATGCACAGTCAGGGAGGGAAGAAATTGATGGTGGCCATCTTTGGAGACTAACCGCAACCATTATTAAACAGCAGATGTAGCCTTCTTTCTCTAATTCCTACAGTTTCCTGATCACCAGGGAAATTCAAGCAAGCCTGTGCAGAAACAAATGAGAAAAAGAAGTAGAAAAATGCCCTGAAATGCCTCATCCTTTTCTACCTTAATGCTCAGCTGCAGAGTAAGGAAGGCAACCCCACCTCCAAAATTACCTCTAATTATCCTTTGGCTAAGCCTCTTCTGGTAGTATTTGTTCTTATTTGAGCATTGGAGGAGAGGCTGCTGCACTTGTAGGATATGTAAAGAACGTGGTTAGTGCTTGTATAATCCTGCAGTAGATGTGTCCTAATAATTCGTTTTTAAAGCTGTTACCACTACATCTGTTTTTTTGTTTGGTTTTGGGGATTTTAGTTTTTTGGTTTTCTGGGGGTTTTTTGAGACATAGTCTTGCTCTGTCTCCCAGGCTGGAGTGCAGTGGCGTGATCTCAGCTCAGTGCAACCTCCACCTCCCAGGTTCAAGCGATTGTCCTGCCTCAGCCTCCTGAGTAGCTTTACAGGTGCTCACCACCACTCCTAGCTAATTTTTTGTATTTTTAGCAGAGACAGGGTTTCACCATGTTGGCAAGCTGGACCCCAAACTCCTGATCTCAAGTGATCTGCCTGCCTCTGCCTCTCAAAGTGCTGGGATTACAGGCATGAGCCACCATGCCTGGTACTATGTCTGTTCTGTGTCAAGTGTTTCAATGACTATTCCTAAGGACTGGTTCTTCAGGCAGCAGTTAAAAACAATAATTTTCAGTGCTGCATATGCATATTGTTAAAATGGAATACATCTACAAGCAACCTTTTCAACTATCAATTTCCATGTACAAGTCAAATTATACTCATTTTCTAAGAGAAACGATACCTGGGTAGGTTTTTCTTTCCTTCTTTTTTAATGATACAGAGGATGCTTATGGAAAAGGACAAGTAGATCTAAGACTGGAAAATCAGTTTTCTAGCTTATTCCAATGCTGACAATATCCTCTCGTATTCTAGGTCTAACGTTGAGCAGCAATTTATGGGTTGCTGGGGCAAAACTTTTCCAAGTGCTTTAAGAAATCTCACATTTTAAGAGATTATTATTGTCTAAAAAATGATGTGATGTGTCTTTAAAAAAAAAAAAAAAAAAAAAAAAACAGAGTCCAGGTTCCAGGTTTAGAGATTTGTCTTATAAAAATGGAAATCTTTGGTTTCCCAAACATGTGAAAAAAATGTAGTATTTTTGTACCAGCTGCTTAGGAAGTATAGTCCACTGAAACGCAAATTGCCCTCTTAATTTGTATTGCTCAATATTTATTGAAGATATATTGTGCACATTTTAAATACAATGTTGTATATGCAAATAATTACACATGGCCTAAAGCTAGAATTCAATTAGGAAAAGTACAGACCTTTAAAATCTGCCATTTTACCCTTTTTCTATTTTGTTGGTGGTGGCAGTTGCTGTTTTGATTTGTCTAGGTTTAAAAAGATATCATGCTTTAAACTAGTCTAGATCATTTAGAAAACTTTACAGATTTTATTTGACTATCTCTAAAAAATTTCTATATGTTTATCCCTTTATTTTAGGAAGAAGAATTAGAAGCCCAAATTTCCTTCCTTCAAGGACAGTTGAATGACCTGGATGCCATGTGCAAATACTGTGCAAAGGTGATGGACACTCATCTTGGTAAGTGAATTACTTTGGCCCTGGGAACAATGAGAGTCATCACAGTAATAGCCACTAGCATTGCTTTGTTCTAGGCCCTGTGCTAAGCTGTTTACATGAGTTATCTTATTTAATCCTTACAACACCCATATAATAGAGGTACTATTACTCTCTAATAAGATGAGGAAACCAAGGCATGGAAGAATTAAGAAAATGCCCCACGATTATATCACTAGTAAATTGAGTGGAGCTTGAAAATCAAGCACCTGACTATAGGCTGGATGCAATGGCTCACACCTGTAAGCCCAGCACTTTGGAAAGTAAAGGTGGGAAGATTTGAGGCCAGGAATTTGAGACCAGCCTGAGCAACATTGCGAGACCCTGTCTCTTCCAAAAAAAAAAAAAAAAAAAAAAAAAATGTTTTTAAATTAGTTGGGCATAGTGGCACGTGCCTGTAGTCACAGCTACTAAAGAGGCTAAGATGGGAAGATTGCTTAAACCCAGGGGTTTGAGGTTGCAGCAATCTGTGACTGTGCCACTATACTCCAGCCTGGGTGACAAAGTGAGACTCTTTCTCTAAACAAAAATGATAAAATAAAATTTTAAAGCAATCTGACCTCAAATCTCAACTCCTGATATACTGTCCTTTGTAAATGTCTGTTTAACCTCAAACAAAAATGAAATATTGCGTTTTTAAGATCAAATAATCAGCTATACCACTCTACCAACCTGTCAGTAATCACTAATGTCATTATTTTGGCAATTCTTTTTTAAAAAAGTGTACTTTTTAACCACCTGCCTGAAATGCATGACCTTTTCTTTCTTCTGACTGTGCTTATATTCTAAGAAATGTGCCTGTTGGAAGTTCAGTTTGCATGTGGGTCATGCATGTCGTATTGGAAAGTCTTCAGGCACTGCTCTGCTTTTGTAAAAGGTTTTATATCTTGTATTAGAGATACCTTATGCTGGCTCATGTATGAATCACTTCAGTAACTCCATGCTGCTTACAAAAGCTTTTGCCATGCCCCATTTTTACTATTTTTTAGCCCATTTATGGACATCTTTTGTTTCTTCACTGTCCAGTTGCTAAGATTGGTAGTTTGTGAATACATTAGGAAACTAAGACATGTACTCTCATGGAAATGGCCAGTGTGCTGCTCTGTAGCATCGAGAAAGGGCAATACCAGGTTTTGTAAGAAATCAGGATGCATCCCACCTCTGAGGCAGAACCAAAGAGAATCCACCAAGGCCTCTGGGGCCTTTGTTGGAGGTAAACTCTCTGTCTTCAAACCTCAACAAGCTCTAAGCCATTACAAGTGACAACAATGGCTGTCATTTGGGTATAGCCTAAACCAACTGGCCTCAATAAAATAATAAATGTTCTCTTAAAAGATTTGGAGAGATGCTGATCTAGATGGCTGGGTGGCTGCCTGACTTATTAGCACCTGGCTGGGTCCTGTTCTACCCTCAGCCGTATTTCTACCCTCTCAACCATACCTGTGGGGAAAGGACTCGAGGAAAAAACAGCAGGAGAAACCCTGGTAGATGATTGATAGGGTAGTGTCTCTCATCACAGCAAGAAACATTACCCCTGTCACATTTGATCTCTTACAGACTCTGTTTATTAATAAGCTGCTTGATGATTATTTTAAAAATTCATATAGAGCTATGTATGACCAAGTCACCGATTCAGCTGCTCACAACTTGCAAGATCCAATTAACAAGAGTGAGTTCTGGTATGAGGAGGCTTTTTCTTCCATAGCTTAGCTCAGGGGAAGAAGTACAGACTCCTGCCTTTAAAGGTACCACCTCACTTTGGGGACAGAAAACAGAGGCTTTTAAAGGGGGCCTTGGCATGAGTAGCATTCAAGGGAAGGAGCAAGCAGGTAAGAGTCTGCGTCAGTGGCTTCAGTGCCTTCTCTACCAGGTCCAGCTGGCACCAGCACAGGCAGAGCTAGGTTGTAAAGTAACTACTGTCTGAGATACTCTCCAGTAGAGGAAGAGTTTCATCTTGGACATACTTGATGTTGTAAATTGACTGTTGTCTCTCAAATAAATCTCTGGGTGGTAGAGATTTCCAGCTCTGGAGCTTCTACGCAAGCACATAGTTTAGTTAAGCTTGCCCTGTAGGAAGTGTCTGTTAAAGAGCAGATAAAGGTTGCATTTAAAGAGCTAAGTAGGAAATGGAGAACAAGGCAAAGGGAGGAAAGAGAAGAGAAGAAAATAATTTAAAAAAAAAATAACTCATTCTCTTTCTCTTAGAAAAATGGGGGTAATAAGTTACATACCTAATTTTACATCAATCTTATATTATCTAATATCATTGTACTTTAAAATACATCAAAAAGAACTAATGAACAGATAGTTTATATATAAATAATATATTTTATATGACTAATTATGGTTACTTATTTAAATATAATTTTAAAATGTATGTGTAGTTTTTGCTTTTCTGGCTACTTGGATGATCTCTGCATTACTTGACTTTAGTTTTCACCAAAGTAAAAGAGCAAAGAAGTGATGGGGAGAAAGATTTACTGGAACTCTACAAAATCCTTTTAGGAAATTTCCAAGTTGCTTGGTACACACAGCAGCTTTTAAAGTAGCTTTACTTAAGCCTCAGAATTTTCAAACAGCTTTTGCTCTGACTTTGGTGTTTCAATCAGCACTAAAAGAGCATTTTCTTATTGCATGGGATGGAGAAACAAGTTAATTAAAATGGAAAGAAAAGCCTATACCAGCTGTGAATTTTCAACTAACCACAAAACTAGATTTGTTTTCTGTGTATGTTTCACATTCAACCAGAACTTGTTCACATAGCTGTTGACTTTTCTTCCTTCATATAAATAGCACGACTGCATTTTTAAAGTGGGATTGAGGGATGCTACCAAGAATTCCTGGCCCCAAGGCCCACAGATACATTTCAGTTCAAATGCATAATGTAACAATGGTTAATTAAAGGACGCTCCTAGATTGCAGGCAACTTTGATTCTAAGCAAAGATTTAACGAAAACACGAAGATTAAGTTGATGCTCTTTATTTGTTTTTTAACATATTACGGTTTCCTAAAAAATTATTTTAATACCCTTATATTTTTCCATAGATGTATTTCTGTTTCTGATTATTAAAGGAGAACAAAATTGGAAGGACTAAAATGTTCATAGTAAGGGATTTAATGTAATACAGTATAATATAATTCCATCTTTATATAAAGATTAAAATATTTATTAACATAAGTAGATGTCAGTGATAGAATATTAGGTGATAACAGCAGATGGCAAAACAGTATATATTTGGTATGAAAATACTGTTAACAGTGGTTGGCTAGGTAAAAAGAATATTATAGAGGGACTTTCCAAGGGACCTAATCTTCTATGCTTAGAAAACATAAGACTTCAGTGCACGTAACTAGCACTCGGTGATCAACCTGTATACGTAGCAGGCAAAAGCCAGTTCATAAGAGTGGTGAAGTGGTGTCTGAGAAACAGAGACAACCTCATGTGGCATCAAAAAGATCTAGGGCTGAACCCAGGCTCTGTCCCTTAGCTTGGCCAGCTTATGAATGTGTCCTCATATGTCGACACATATGTACTTGACATTTCTCTCCATCTATCTTGCCAGTTCCTTGCCAAAAAATATTTTTAAACCCTAGTATTGGGAATGGCCCAAAATGGGTGTCAAACACAAGTCATCTCCTGTTTCCCTTTAACTCTTAACTGTCTCTTCTCAGGGAAGAATCTGAGAGACTCTTCCAGCCCATAGCCATAGAGCTGAATAATAACTTGTCCAGGGCCCACAACTGGTTAGTTGAAGAGCTGGACTAGTACCACATTTCCCATTACCCAACTGAATATTCCTCTATCAAGTGATGCAAAATGATGCTGGAATTTGGGATGTGCTGGTTCTAAGATGAGGTGTGTGAGCTCCTTGAGCAAGAAAAGCTATGTCAGAACTTAATGATGCCTCTGGGGCACTTAGTGACATAAGGGCTGCTGAGCCTCCATTATGTACTGGGGCACAGGCTACCGAGGTGGCTGCGAGAGCTGTCTCAGAAACTTACTCTAGGAGTTACTCTCCAGATCCTTTATGATTTTCACTAATCCATTCGTGTCAAGAGAACTCCGTAACACCTTACGTTTTCTTTTCTCTTCTTTTCTTTTCCTTTTTTTGGTATAAATGCAAGGGGTACAAATGCAGTTTTGATACATGGATATACTGCATAGTGGTAAAGTCTGGGCTTTTAGTGGAACCATCACCCAAGTAGTGCACATTGAGCCCATTAAGTAATTTCTCATCCCTTACCACCCTCCCACCTTTCTGAGTCTCCAGTGTCTATTATTCCACACTCTATGTCCATGTGTATACATTATTTATCTCCCACTTATAAGTGAGAACACATGCAATTTGATATTTCTGAGTGTTCACTTAACATAATGACCTCCAGTTCCATCCATGTTGCTGCAGAAGACATGATTTTATTCTTTTTTATGGCTGAATAGTATTCCATTTTGTGTATATAGCAGATATTCATCTAGTCATCCATTGCTGTACACTTATGTTGCTTCTCTATCTTTCCTATTATTGTATCACCCTGTGTTTTTGTCTCACATACAATAAGTATCTTAAAATGTCAAGCACTATTCAATGCTGTTTTTATAACTGATAGCAGAACAAATATAGAGAAAATCCTTTCAGTCAAAAATTATATAATGACATTTGTTCAAATGGCCCTTTACAGAGGTAGTAAAATTGACAGGTTAACAGTATTTCCTCACAGTTCTGGAACTCAAAACTAGAAGGCCATTTGTGTTGTCAAAACTACCAAAATTCTAATTTTATTACCTCCAAGTGATTGAACTATTTGAATTCAAAGGTTTAGAGACAGAAATTGAAAATAGGTTTTATTAAAACCAAACTTTTCCTGTCAACTTTAGATGAGGTTTTTTACCTGTTGATTTTTCGGTTGCTATGGTTACTCCCTTCTTGTCGTCCTGACAGTGAGTTGAAAGCCACTGACAGTA